TCCTGAGTGCCGGAGAGGGGGAAGGGCACCTCGTGGGCGGCACTCTCATGGGGCCCATGGCTGGGCTTGGCTGTACACCCTGGGATCAGCTGAACCACCTTCCCCCAGACTGCCCCCCAACACTTGCTCAGCTTTGCTTAGCTGAAATATGATCTCTGACCCTTGGCAGATCACCTACATTGGTCACCCTGACCCAGACCGTTTGGTTTCTGCAAATGTAATCATTTCCATTTCTGTGACCTACCCCCCCCAGCCCCACCCAAGATTTACAAAGTAGCAGCTGCTGCCATCCCTCTGCACACAGACAGCTGACTTGCCTGCTGATTGTGAACATCCCAGTAATCCAAGTGCTAATGGTATTTACTCAGTCCAGCCAGCTTAGCCCTGAACAAGGTTTAGTCTCATTTATCTCATCGGAGACAAGCCACGTCCTTAATATCCTTCTGTTGACTTTGAGCACACCAGCGTCACGGAGGTCGCTGAGAGGCAAGCCAGGCCCCTGCCCTTTAACACACTCAAATCCCCAACTGTCAGGCTCCCCACCTTCCAGCCAGCAAGAACCACCTTTCCACCCCTCCCCCTACATGGGTCTGTAGGCGGGGAGGCAGATGAGGCCAGCATATATGTGCCTGGGACATCTGTGTTCTGGAGGATATGGTCTGGGCTCTTTGTAGCAAACCCACCCTAATTGTAATGTTTCCATCACATTGCAGTTGGCTGCATTTTGGCGTTTGTTCCTTAGCTGTTATATCTTTAACACAAGATATTTTTAGCTCTGCCTCATAGGTGAGGCGATAGAAATGAAGGGACTTGCCCAAGGTCATCAGCCCTTGGTCACAGGCTTCCCCCCAAGGTTTCTGCAGGCCCTGGCCCTTGTACATCCCCTAACCTCACTCGGCCTTTTGGGGCATTTGCATTTCATCCCCCAAAGCACAGAGTAATGAACATTCAGAGCCCAAGGCTAAGCTGCTGGGGGAGGGAGAGGTTCTGAGAGCATGTTGGTACCTGCCCCTCCTCAGCAGATTGCTCGAACGCCCAGCGCACCTGTCCCTGCCTGGCTGGACTGAGTGTCATTTGGAAACACAAGCTCTCCCTTCCTCACTTTCCCCACCTTCCCTCTGCTGTGTTCCTTAGCCCCTCGGCTGGGCAGAACTGAAAGACGTTTGTCAGAGGGTATTGTACAGAACCCCTGAAATGTATATGGAGCCACTGAAGTCTGGCGTAGGGCCCAGAGTTACATGGGCACCTTACCTTCCTTGAAGTTGGTCAGGTGAAAAGGCCCAGGGCTGCTGAGGCCGCGCTTGGCCACAGGCCCGTGTTTAGCCGATGGGCCTGCTCTCCTCACCCAGGTTCTTCAGGACTCTGCTGCAGGTGGAAGAGTAGATTTATTGCCTTATGAAAGTGATTTCAGCAAGTAACAAAGTACTGGGCTTTCACTTTTCCCCTCTGGTTTCTTTCTGTGTGAGTTCTCTTCTGTCCTACCTTAATGAGCTTCTCTCTTTGGGGATGGGGAGGGACCCAGCCACTGTCCATGACTGTAGGTGCTCCTGGCTGATAGCAGCCTATCTTATGGAGAAAAGAGCTTCTTTTTGTCCTGACTCCATTGTAGACTCAGGGTTCTGGTTGCCCAGTCCTGGGTGACCCATGGTGGATCAGCACCCAATCCACAAGCCCTTCTCTGTGGCTTTGGGAGTTGGGACCCACCCCATCAGGATCATACGGAGTGGGAGAGGGAACAGTGTCTCAAAGGAAGGGAGGCAAGAGTGTCAGTACTGAGAGGTGGGGCAGAGGGGACGCCGGGCCGACACAGGCTCCCACCACATAGCCACAGACGACCTGACCTGGGAGTAGCGAGTTGTGCCTGGTTCAGAGTGGTCCACCGTCTCATCTCCTGTCCCCAGGGCCACTGTCCTGCTCCTGGGCCCTCTCTGGTGTCTGTGTGGCTTGAAGGAGCTTGTCACCAACTCTTCATTTTACTTTGGGTTTGGTATTTGCTGAGGAAGGAGCAGCAGGAGCAGGTTCTGCTTGCTGGACAGGGTCTGCGCCCTGCATCATCCTTCCTAGGTCCCAGCCAGCAGACCTCTTTGGCACTATCAGCAGCATGGCCTCCTCACCTGCACCTACTTGTCAGCTGCGCCTCTTGGCCCCATTTCCATGACTTTCCTGGGGAGCTCTGCGTTCAGTGGTCTCGCCTCTCCACACACACTCATGCTCTTCCCTGAGTACCTGCCCCTCCTCCTGTCCACAAGCTGTCTTCTTCCGCCTCCTGCAGTGTCTCTTCTCCAGTGCAGCCCTCCTGGCTCTTTCAGCCCAGACCTTCCTGTTTTTTCTCAGAACCCGCACCAGCCTTAGGTTCAGAGCCACTTGGTCTGGCCTAGTGTTCCATATTGTTCATTCCCTCTGTAACTTCTAAGTAAAATCTGGTGGTGTGGTCTCTCTCCCCTGCATGGATCCTGGCTGGCTGAGCTTCCCCGAAGACCCATCCTGCATGTGGGGCTTCCCTGAGTGGCTGCCTAGCAGCAGCCCATCTCTACAGCTTTCCTAGGACAGACTGCTGTATGGCCCTCTGTCACTTATGTCAGGGTCCCGGGGACAAGAAGTACCCAGGAAGCCATATCTCTTCCTGGCTTTTGGCGTCTTTCCTTTCCTCCCAGTCAGTTTGCTCCCTCTTTGGAGGATCCTGAGGATTTGCCTACATGGTATGTGCCCTCCCCTTTAGGCCCTGGTACTTTGTTTCTTGTCGGGGCTTTGGTTCCTTTAGGGGTTTGAGCCTTCTCTCCCCTCCTAACAAGTAAGATGTGGGTAAGCACAGTTCCCCTCTCTCCCAACACTGCCTCCTATTCGTGACAGGGCTGCTCCTCTGGGTGGTGCCCTGGTGGGTCCCTGTACCCAGCATGCTCAAGTGGATCTCCTAGGACTGCCCTTGTCTTCTGGGGTTGGCCGGGTGATGATCTCATCTCTAGGTCTTGTTCTCAGCAGATCCATAGACAAGCACAAAGTTCCATGTGCTTTCCTTGGAGGACTTTGTCCCTGCCACTGTGTGGGCCCACGACGCATGGTGCTCCCTGTGAGGCTGATGTGATGTTAGGTCTCGCAGCCCCCCTTCCTTGGGAGGCAGCTTTTGACGTTTGTGTGAATTTCTCAGCATGGTCCTCTTTTCCTAGAAAAGACCCTGCCTGTTGCGGGTGAGTGTTCCTCAGGCACGTGATGGCAGAGACAGTCCTGATTAGCTCACGCTTTGATGAAGCAGCTGCCTTTCTCAAGTGGGGGAAGCAGGGGGCAGGGGAGAGGCTCAGCTCCCCGGCCCCCCTGCATCAGTGCCCACCTGCCTGTCTGGAGAGGAGCTGTCAGCTTCCCTTCCCCAGAGACCCTGGCCCATCGCCAGGCTGCCCCTGAGACACACCAGTGGAGCTGCGGTGGGACAGGCTAGCACCCACCCTGCACGTCCTTTCTAGCTGAGAGGATGCAGAGGGACCCACGCACCCCCCATTTAGAGCAGGAAAACTGGCTCAGCGTGCTGGGTCTTCTTTGAAACTTGAAGCTGGTGCCTGGTAGGATCGGGCGCCATCACCACGCCATCCGGGCCAGCTTGGCTGGAGCACCTGCTGTGTGGCAGGCCCTCTCCTGTGAGTGCAGCGTGAACTCTCTTGTTCCCCGCCTCCCGCTTCCTCTGGGTCTCAGGCCCTGCCTCACTCTCCACGATGCCGTGAGGGCCCCTTGCCGAGGTTGGGGGTTAGGAGGAACAGGCGCTCTTTGGGTCCCCAGGGAGCTTGTGGCCTTGCTAAGGTGAAGCAGCCAAAGACAGGAAGAGACTCGGTGCCCTTTGTGGGCTGTCTGGGTGAGTGTGAGAGCCACTCTGTGACCCCTGGTCCGGCCCCTCCCTTTCCTTCTGGCCTCAGGGTTTTCTTCTCTGAGGCCTGCCTCTTAAGTGTCTGGCGAGGGAGCCTTGACCTCCCTTGAAGGCCTAACTATACAGGTCCCTGTGCTTGTCACTTCCTCCCTAATTGATCATAATTTGATCTTGGAAAGCAAGAGGTTCAGACATTTCTCATGCCTGGCACCCTGCCCTGTGGAGGTCTCACCAGCCAGGCCCCTGTGCTTCCGTCCAGGAGAGTTGTGCCTGAATGTTTGAACCTCCTCTTTCTCCAGCCCAGAATGGGGAGAGGAGTTGGAGAGGCAGTTCTAGGTTTTGAGTGTTACGGTGTTGCTGTGTGTTGGTTGGTACAGTCCTGGTTGTGCACTGTGTGTTGATTCATTCTGGCCCGCTTTTCCCGGGCCGCAGGGCGGAGGCTGTGTGCTCAGCGCTGAGAACATGCTGAGAACATGGGGGCAATCACAGCGGCTACTCTCATAATGGGGAGGCACCTGGGTTGTTCCTGTTTTAAGATCTGCTCAGGTTAAGAGGCTGCCTGGATCTCTTTTGTTCTTGCTGTCTTTTTCCCACAAGCATTGACCACATGTTGTCTGTGTGCTCCCCCAGGTGAGGAAAGAGGAGCGGGTCCCAGCACGTGGCCTGGAGGAGCTCATGCTCAGAGAACAGACCTTTTAGTAATTGCCCCCCAGTGTATGATTGCCTGGGGTGATGGAAGGAGGAAGACCCAATGTAGGCCTGGGGAGTGTGAAGGAAGGTTTTCGTGGGAGGGACACTGAGTAGCACCTTTAGCATCAGGAGATCTTAAAAGGGTGGAGATGATGTCTCTTCCCCGATCACTCCAGCCCATTGGCTCCTGGGTGGTAGGACAGTGTGAGAGCTGTTGGCCCTGTCATTTTGGCCATGGGCCTTTGTACCCAGGTGGACGTATAGCCCTTCATCTGTTCACCCAGCTAAGTTCGAGCTTGTCCCAAGTGGGAACCCTCCCTTGAGCACCTTAATTTTCCCCAGGGAATGACTGGGACAATATCATCCCCCTAACCAGCCAGATCCCTGGACTGAGCACAGTGGCGTGCCCCCGACGTGGTGAGGAGGTGCAGTGTCATGCTGTCCTGTGCTTTCCTTCCAGCAACCCAAAGGTCCAAGTAGAGGCCATTGAAGGGGGAGCCCTACAGAAGCTGCTGGTCATCCTGGCTACAGAGCAGCCTCTCCCTGCAAAGAAGAAGGTGTGTATCTGCTCCCTTCCTCCTGTCCAGCCCCTAGTTCATCTGTGACAAGGGTCCCTTTTCAGGCTGTCCCTGTCACCCTTGGGGACCTGAGTGGTCATCCATCCACTGGCTGGCATTGGGGAAGAGGTCCCACTCACCTCACGCAGCATGGCCACTTGCCGAGGCATCTGGAGGCCTACGTTCAGCTCCCATAATAGTCTGGGGTACCACCCTCTGGGTTCCTGTGGTGGGACTCTGCCCACGGGGCAGTGTTGGAGGTGTCTGACCCCTCTTCTGGCTCTCACAGACCTGTGTTCTGGGGTAGAGTTGGACCTGAGGGGGGCGGGTGGGGCCGGGAAGAATGGAGCATGGGCTGGGGTTGTGGGGCACCTCTGGCTGCCTTTGCTGGGCCCTGGAGCAGGGCCAGCTCCATGTGGCTCCTACCCTCTGCAGGTCCTGTTTGCACTGTGCTCCCTTCTGCGACACTTCCCCTACGCCCAGCAGCAGTTCCTGAAACTGGGAGGGCTGCAGGTCCTGAGGAGCCTGGTGCAGGCGAAAGGCACAGAGGTGCTGGCTGTGCGCGTGGTCACTCTGCTTTATGACCTGGTCACTGAAAAGGTGAGTGCCCAGACCTGTGGTGCCTCCATGTTGCTTTGCTTTGTTTTGCTTCTGGCCTTTTGACCCTGGCCTCCTCCCACATCTCTTCCAGCCCGCCTTCCATCCTCCTAACGGTGCTCCCAAGAAAACGTGTCAGACTGTGCTGGGCAGACAGGGTGGCTGTGGGAGCCCCTCCCTGGGGCCCCGAACCCAGAGTTTCTGAGGCCTCAGGGAGGGTATCCCATGGAAAGTGACGGCTAACCTGCAACCTGAGGGCTGGTGAGGACGGGAAGGGGCAGGGGCGCTGACGGGGGTGGGGGGTGGGCGCAGGGTAGAATGTGCCAGCGTGATGGAGGGCCAGAAATGGCCAGGATCGGCCCTGCATGGAATGACAGGTCATTTGGCTAAAGCCTAGGGTGGGGTGATGGGGAGCAGCTGGGACGGAGCAGCTGTGTCTGGGAGCCCCCGAAGCAGCCGGAACACCCAATTAGCCAGAGGCTGGAATGATGCTGAATCTTTAGATTCTAGAAACGTGATCTTTAGATTTTTAGGTTTAGATTTTGAGATTTAGATCTTAGATCTTTAGAGCCTGGAAACATGGAGGTGCCTCCTCTGGGAGCTTTGGCCCTGGGCAAGGGCTCAGAATGGCCGCCCTCCAGGGGCCCGGGGAACCCTGTTGTTGCCACCTGGCAGGAGAGACCAACCCACTTTGGTCTTTGTGAGCCTGAAAGGTGTCTTAAGAAGAGAGTGCAGCCAGCCAGGTCTGGATTCTGAATGCAGCAGCTTCAGAGAGCGTTAGCAGAGCTTTCTCAGCTGCCTCTCTGGCCACACTCTCCCTAGAACAGCTGACTGCGGATTCGGGGAGCAGGGCTGGGCAGCCGCCGGAACCACCACTGAGTGTCAGAGGCTGAGAGGCCCGGGCCCGCCCGCCTGCCCCTGCCTCAGCCTGAGGGTCAGAGTTGTCTAGAGCTGCTTCTCCGTCTGTTAGTTGCTGTTGTGTGTGCACTGACTCTCCGGGCGTGCCTTGTCTTCCATTCTCTTTGCCTCTTTCTCCACCTCTCGTGCTCCCCCCTCCTCTCTCTTCTTCCCCTCTCTCTCTTTCCCTGTTTCTCTCTCTCCAAGCTGCAGAAACCCAGAACAGCAGGCAGCCATGTGGTGCTCACATCCAGTTAATAAGGCCTGTGCACAGTTGACTTCCTGGCAACAGGCCAGCAAGCCTGGAGCAGGACCTGCATGTCGGCTTGGCGTTTCCCAGGAGAAACTGACCTCTCCTCTGGTGAATTCAGTGTCTCTTTGCTGCCCCCAGTCCTGGTGTGGCAGGTGCCACGGCATTGGCGTATCACCGGAGAGCTACCTGAGTCAGCTGGCCCCCGGAGCTCGCCTTGAAGCTCGGGGTGCTGTAAACACTGGTGTCTCTCTGCAGAGAGTACAGAGATAACTGTCCTTCTGCAGGCAGGGAGTACGGTGGAGGAGTTTCAGCCAGCCAGTAAGCTTAGGACAGGTGTCAGCCAAACTGTGCTTGAGGCAGCTGGAGCTTCTCTGTTCTTGTCCTTCCTCAGAAAGAGCCCGGGGCTGGGTCCAGAGCTGCGTGAGGTGGAGGCGTGCCAGGTTGCCCTTGGAGGTGCCCTACACCTTGAGGGTGTTGTGGGAAAGTAGCAGCTGCACTGCAGAGTTCCCATGGAGAGTGGACCCACCTCTCAGATTGTTGCTTCTACAGAGATGAGATGCTGGCCTCTGGTCATGAGTCCACATCCATTCCTGCCTCCATGGAGCTGAAGGGACACGGGTGACCCACGCACTGGTTCCTTCCACGAGTGTTGACTGGATGTCTGTCCTGCCCGGTGCTGGTCTAGATCCACCGTCCCTGCCCTCCTGGTGCTTTGGGGCAGACTTTCATCACAGTAGCTCCTGGAGCATGTGGGCCGCAGAGGCTCACAATTGGGAGACTCTGACCTGTTCTGGCAAGTCAGGGGAGGCAGTGAGATCTGAGGGGTGAGTTAACTGTGGAGTTGGAGTTAGGTGGGAGTGCGCCTCCAAGCTGCACCCTAAAGGCTCTGGGGGACAGTTCGTGTGACAGGTGCACGGGTGAGGGCGTGTGTGGGGACGAGGCCAAGCACAGGTCGGGGTGGACCCTGCAGGGCCTTGAAGTCCTTGGGAAGGGATTAGTTACGAACATCAGAAATGCCCAGTTGTGCAGGGTGTGGGGCTGGACAGCAGTCTGCTATCAGCCGGCTGGAGGAGGCAGGTTGGGAGTGGGAGGCAGGGGGCTGACAGGTGCAGTGAGGAGCAGTGGACGTGGGGTAGAGGCCGAGGGCAGTGGGGACTTGGATGTTCCAGACGTGCAGCTGGGGCCCGCGGGGTAGCTTAGGAAAGGACTGTCAGAGCCCTCTCATCCTTTTCTGTGCCAGGATGCTGATCCCTGCCTGTCCCTGCTTCCTCCACCAGCCCCAGCAGACCCCAAGGCCATCAGGTGGTGCTCTGCGGCCCCTGCTCTTTGCCTGGGCTTTCCTCTTGTCTTCCCTGTCCTCGGCAGCCTCATTCTCCCCGGAGTAAGGGCGGAGATTCCTCTTTCTCCTTGCAGGTACATTGAGTACAGCCAGCAAAGCACATCCCCACCCCTGCTCACCCTCCACCTCTGCGTAGCCTTCCCCCGACATTCGAAAGAAGCTGGTCACTCATCAGGTTTCAGGCATGGCAGCCGTGGCTCCCACCATATTGTGCTGATGGGGCTGGGTTTCTGTACTTGACAGCCACCGGCCAAGCTTGTGACTTTCTGCCCAAACTTGTCTCAACTCCCCAGGCCCTTGGCATGAAGGCCACACACAGCCAGGGCTCTGTGTGCTCTGGGCCTAGCCGGACCCTCACGCCCCACGGACCAGAACAGTCTGACATTCTTCACACGGGAGGTGGTCCTCAGCCTGTTGTTGCGACCGCCCCCTGTGTGCGGACCCTCCACCCTTGTCCACTTGGACAACCCCCACGCAGCCCTCCAAACTCAGGGAAGTGCCATCCTGCTCTCTGCGCTGGGGCCCTCACTCCTCTGAGAGGGTGGATCCAGCGGAGGTGAGGCCAATGTGCTTTGAGGTACAGACGGTGTGACTCTAACTTGATATCCGAGCTCCCGCTGCCAGGGGTGCTGTGTGCTGGGCACTGGCTGTGTGTGGCCCTGAAGGGGTCATGTCACACAGGAGATGACACCGTGCCAGCCCAAGGCCGTCCGGCTATCAGTGGTGGAGCAGGAATTTGAACCCAGACTGTTGGCCCCCACAGTGCACTGCTGAACTAAAGTTTTTGTGCTACTTAGGAATTACTCAGTTAATTAGGATTCTCCTGCTAGACCCTGAGTTCCCTGAGGGCAGGGATCGTGTCTCCATCTTGGTTTCTCTGGCATATTGCAGTTGTTTTTGATGAATGGATGGATGGACAGACAAATGAACCTCTGGATGGATGGGTGGGGGAGCCTGTGTGAAGCCGTGAATCCAGCTGGCTGTCTCCCTCCCTAGGCCTTTGAGGCCCAGAAGGATGGAGGAAGATGGCTCAGCCACATTGCCTTCCTATCTGAATGGCGGCCCTGACCGCTCTGTGTCTTCTGTCCCCCAACCCCACCCCTGGTGCCTGGACGTGCGGATGGCAGATGTTTGCTGAGGAGGAGGCCGAGCTCACCTGGGAGACGTCCCCAGAGAAGCTGCAGCAGTATCGCCAAGTGCACCTCCTGCCGGGCCTGCGGGAGCAGGGCTGGTGCGAGATCACCGCCCACCTCCTGGCCCTCCCTGAGCACGATGCCCGAGAAAAGGTGCTGCAGACACTGGGTGCCCTCCTGGCCACCTGCCGGGACCGCTACCGTCAGGACCCCCAGCTCAGCAGAACGCTGGTCAGCCTGCAGGCTGAGTACCAGGCTCTGGCCGCCCTGGAGCTCCAAGACGGTGAGGATGAGGGCTACTTCCGGGAACTGCTGGGCTCCATCAACAGCTTGCTGAAGGAGTTAAGATGAGGCTGCTCCCCAACACTGGGACTGGACTGGGACTTTAGTGAGGCTGACGGGCACCAGCTTGGCTGGGCTCTTGAGGGGACACCAGCCAGGAGGGAGGACTTCCCTCCTGGGGCCTGGACATCATCTGGGCAGTGCTGGCTTGGCCATTAAATGGAGGCATGAGGGCCGTTGTCTGTTGTGTGTCTCTGCAGACTAGACACAGTCCTGTGGTTGGGGGACCATATCTAGGAGCCCACAGGTTGGGTAAATAGGCACCTGAGGAACCCCTGATGACACGGCGGATGATCAGCCCAGGGCATCCAGTAATAGGCCCCATGGGAAGGGTCTGGGTTCAGGAGTTGGAAAACCCTGGCTGGGACCCAGCTCTTCCCCACCCAGTAGCTCTGTGACCTTGGCAAGTCATTTGCCTTCCCCTGAGCCTGTTTTCTCAACTGTCACAGGGGAGTGACATTAAGTGTGAGAAAACATGCATAAAGCACTACAGCAGGGTCGGGCACCCATGCTTGTTCCTTCCCCCACCTGGCTCTGATGGAGGGTCTGGGGGGATCATCTCACTGCCCCCTGTGCCCCGGACATAGCTTTGAGGCCCCTGGCTGTGTGTCAGCCCCAGCAGCTTACAGGCTGGGACCAGGGTGCTGGAAGGACTGGGGGTGGCCTGTGGCACTCCGGAGGACCCTTGGGTGTGGGCCTCGCTCTTGGAGAGGTGTGATCTCCCTGAAACTGGAAGAAGGCCCGCCTGACAGGGCCCTCTGTGCCCTCGCCCCTCCCCCGTGTCAGCCGAGGTGCACTGTGGGGGTGGCCTCGGAGGTGGGGGCAGCCGAGCCTGGCAAGTCCCGGCTCCCACCCCACAGGGGCCGTGTGCCAGGCCCGGAGCCTGCTGCAGGTTGCCACGGCAACCCCAGCCCTGGGCTTTCCTGATTTGGATTCTGGTGCCTTTGTTTTTCAGCCTTTCCCAGTGCATCACAGGCTCACTCCTGCTGCTTAGGCAGCCCCTCCTGGCCTCTGTGTAGAAATCTCCCCTTCCTGGCCTGGCCTGTAGAAAGCTCAGCTTCACGGAGCTCAGGGGGAAACTGAGGCCCGTGCAAACATAGGGTAGTGGGTGGCTTCCTTCCCCGCAGTCCCTTTGCTTGGCCTCACACTCTCTTAGGCCCACCTCATGCCACAACACACAGGAAGCTCAGGAGAGAGCTGTTGCCTGCACACAACCCGCGCCCCCCCGCCCCCCCGGAAGGCAGGAGGGAAGCAGGAGCCTGTTTTGCCGGGGTAGGAAGCCTCATGGCTCAGGCATCGTGGGGATCATACCCAAAGTCTACCATGTATTGGGTACTTTCTGCCTCATTGCCTTTAAAACCTTTAAGTCGCCTCCTGAATATGTTCTACAGATAAGGAAATCATGACTCAGGGAGGCTGAATGGCCCGCCCGAGGTCACACAGCTTCTGAGTGGCAGAGCTAGGATTTGGTTCCAACATGCTGTGGAAGGCTTGAATATGTGGCTCAGAAGGTGATAGTGTTGAATTTGACAGGCAGGAGTGGGAGGGCCAGGATGGATGGCAGAACAGCTGTTCTGTGGTGAAGCAGGGCAGGGTTCAGAAAGGAGCTGCTGGGGCCTGGCTCGGGCCAAGGTCAAAGGTCCCTTTAAAGATGGTGTCAGCAGACTCTGTGGGTGAATTTGAGAAAGGGGGTGGGTGGGCGATGAGGCTGCCCTGGCACATGCTGGGAACGAGGAAGGCTCCGGGTTGGGGACAAGTCTGGTATGGGCCTTGTCCTGGCAGAGGTGAGCGCTGAGGTTGTGGGAGCAGCTGCACCTTTGAGCGAGGGCTGGTGAGGACCTGCTGAGCTGTGGAGGGGGGCCTTGTGTTGGCCTGGGAGGGTAGCAGCTGGGGCTGGGCTTCCCCAGAGTCCTTGAGTCCTCTTTGACCACAGGATCTGATCTGGGATGTGGGAAGGGGTCCCCATGGAAGCAATAACGCTAGTGGGGGCTTAATTGAGGACCCCAGTATCTCTCCACCCTCAGGCATGCTGCACAAAACAGTGTTTAACTATAAAGCCGGGGGCAGGTGGCTTCTGGGTGGCTCAGATGGTTAAGCGTCTGCCTTTGGCTCAGGTCATGGTCCCAGGGTCCTGGGATGGAGCCCCACATCTCTGGCTCCCTGCTCAGCAGGGAGCCTGCTTCTCTCTCCCTCTCCCTTTGCCCCTCCCCCTGCTCATGCTCTCTTGCTCTCTCTCAAATGAATAAATAAAATCATAAAAAAGAAAAGAAGCTAAAAGGAGACATTGGGTCATGAGCTCTTTGTGGGGAGTGGAGATGGGGGCGTGTCAGTGGGACTGAAGTAGCATCTGGGGGCTGTGGTGAGGGAGCTGTACCACTGCCATGGTGCTGAGCATGCAGGCCGGGTGGTTTGACTGCTACTACCCTCTTCCCCACCCCACATCCACACAGACAAGACATAGGGAAGGGTGAAGTTTGGTCTGCACTCCTCTTACTAGCCTCTGACTTTCTGGACCTTGAAGCAAAACCTCCTGGACAAAGGCAGCAGTGTGACCCAGGGCTTGGGCTCAGGCCCAGGCTGCTTGGCTGTGGGTTCTGGTTACACCACCCAGTTTATCACTGATGATCTGCGTGAAGTGAAAGGAGACTTTCTCTGTCCTCCCTTTGGATGCCATCCTGGAAACCGTGGCCAAGAAGTAGGACCTGGGCTCAGGCAGAAAGTGGTAATGGGGGTTGTAGCCACCAGAACTCAGGGTGATGTGACTTCTTCCTGCCAGGCCCTAGAGGCTACTGTCCACTTCTCCCACCCTTGTCATGCGCTGGGGCCTTATGGCAAGGACAGGACAGAGAACTCTGACTGGCTGACCCCCTCTACGCCCTGGATGATTATTGCTTCCCTGCACCTCAGCAAGGCTGAATGAGGCCCTCTCTGTGGGAGGATGACAGGGATGGGGAGTGGAGGGGTCGTCTGCCGTACCCACCCCACCCCTCAGCAGACTTGGTTTTCATTAATTCACTTGTTTATTCTCTCATTCAGGTTGTGTTTGTAGAGCACTTAACCCGGTTAGGTCCCAGGGCTCTGAGGTTGGTAAGTCACAAGCCCTGCTGTCAGGGAGCTCACGCTCTGGTGGGGGAGGCCTCGGTCAGTCGGGGCTGAGGAGGTGGTCAGAGGAGGCCAGTGATAGCCAAGCTGAGACCTGAAGGACACATGGAGAACAAGGCAGCTGAGGTAGGGAAAGGGTTTCAGGCCCAAGAAGATAGAGGAAGACCTGTGCTGAGGGAGAGTGGTCCGATGGAGGAACCCACATGTTCAGTAGAACTGAAAGAAGTGATGGGGTGAGGGGCCAAGGGGCCGCATGGAGCCACAGGGGTCTAGGGGACCACTTTGTCTAGCACCTCGTCAGCCTTGCTAAGGAGCATGCCCTTGTCCTGATGGAGGGGAAGCGAGGGCTGGCTTGTAGGCACTCCCCTGGCTGCTGCGAAGTCATTTGCTCACTCTTTCATCCTGATTTAGTACAGTTGCATCCACCAGGTCCTGTTCTAGGGCAGGAGGTGGTCAGAAGAACAGTGGCAGGAGGGGCGCACCGGGACAAGTATGTGAATGCTGGGGAAAATAGCATTTAACAGCATTCAAGCAGTGAATGCCAAGGAAAATAAAGTACAAGGGGGAGAGAGTGTTAGGGGCTCCCTTTTTGGACCTAGTGGTCAGGGAAGGCTTCTCTGAGGAGATGGGGTGTGAACAGAAGGAGGCAAAGCAGTTCGCCCTTTGGGGGTCTGGGGCGGTGCTTTGTAGACCAGAGAGAGAGCAGAGACGGGTGTCGGAGGAAGAGCAAGAGTCCCAGTACAGGGAGGGGAGCAAGCACGGGAGGGCAGATCCTGCTAGCTGTGGCCAGGACTTGAGGTTTCTCTTCGCAGTGGTGCCGCTGGAGAGCTAGGGGCCGAGGAGAGGCCTAACAGGACTGACGCTTTAACGGGATCGCTCTTGTTGCATGGTGAACACAGGCAGCACGGGCAGGGACAGCAGCGGGGGGCCCAGCACTGTGTCTGCTGCAGAGCCAGGTGGGAGTTGATGTGGTTTGATCCGAGGCGATGAGAGAAAAGGTGGCGCAAAGCACTGAGACCCAGGTGTGTTCCCAAGGTAGAGCTGAGAGGACGCGCTTGCCGACGGCATGTGGCTGAGAGGAGAGGGGTCAAGGGTGAATGAAGCCTCACTCTGGGGCTGGCTTCCCACTCAGAAGTGGGAACGCAGAAAAGCAGGGGAATCCTGGGACCTGGCCCCGTCCGTACTGAGTTGACCATTCAAGCCAGGGACGCCGACTTGGCAGCCGGAGCCAGTCTGCAGCCCAGGGGAGAGGCGGCCTGTGAGGAGCGCGCGCCGTCCAGGTGTCTGAGGTGCTGTGAGCTGCTTGTTCAACACAGCTGCTGTCAAAATCAAATGCCACAAACTTACAATTAGATGACATAGTAAAAAAGCAAAAGTAATTTTTAAAAATCAGCAGAAGAAGAGTGTAAACCAAAACAGAAGAAAAGGAAGTAATAAAGATAAGGGCAGAAACCACTGAAACTGAAGACAGCAAAGTTAGAGAAAATCAAGGAAATGAAAGGTGGTTCTTTGAAAAAAGAAGACACAAATTACCCATCTCGGGAATTAAAAGGAGGATATCACTGCAGACCCTGCAAGTATTAAAAGGATAATGAGAGAGCACTACAAACAACTCTAGGTCCATAAATTGGACAACTCAGAAGAAATGGTGGACCAGTTCCTTGAAAATACTGTCTTTCATTGTATTAGTTTGCCGCTGCTGCTCTAATAAGTGACCACAAACTTCATACCTTAAAACAACTCACATTTGCTCTACCGTAGTTCTGTAGCTCAGAAGTCAGACACTGTTCTCATGGACCAAAACCCAGAGTCCAGAGTCATCGGCCAGGCTGCATTCCTTCCTCGAGGCGCTGGGTAGGCTCCGTTGCCTTGCCTTTTCAGCACCTGGAGGCTGCCTGCATTCCTTGGCTTGTGGCCCCATCCTCCATCTTCAAAACCAGCAAAAGCCACTCAGCTTCTCATGTGACACCACTCTGACCTTCTCTTCTGCCTCCCTTTTCCACTTTAAGGCCCCTGTGATTACATCAGGCCCACCGGCATAATGCAGGATTGGTTTAACCCCTTCCCACAAGAA